TTGTTGTTGTTGTTGTTGTTGTTGTTGTTGTTGTTGTAAATGACGTCCCTCACAAAAAATTCCGTGGTCCAGTTTAAGGGCGAGACATCATCGGTCAAGCTCCAAAACCGGGCCAGCACACACCACGAATCCCGAGGAAAGAAAAAAACGAAAAACAAAGAGGAATAAAAAACAAACCAGCTTCCAGTACTCCTGGACTTTTCTTGTGGGGCACCGGGCTGGCTTCTGACGACCTGCGACGCTTCGGTACCTGACACCTACGGGCCTACGACACTTCAACCTACGGACCCTGGGACCTATCCTAACGGGACAGCATGGGATCGGGACCATCTGGGACTGGGACAATTTAGGACCCTAGGACCGGGACTGGGGTTGTCTGCAGCGTGAATCCTTTCACAATCAATCAATTTTCCTATCTAATTCATAATCGCAAGCTTGTAGATTAAGAACACCCCCCCTCCCCCCCCAAAAAAAAAGGAAAAAAAAGTAAAAATTTGTTAACATGGATTTCAAATTATTAACAAAAAAGAAAGACAATTTTATTAATTTTTTTTTAAAAATCGTTTCCTGGTAATTTTGTTTCAGGTCCGACCTCCCGTCACAGCTGCACGGTCATGGGAAGCAGCGGAGAGATGGTTGAGACTCGAGGAGTTTTCGGCTGTTCTTCATCAACCTCCTTATTCGGCAATCATTGGCTGCTGTCACTGGGAGGTCAGTCCCTACTTCCCTCTATTGGAAAGTTCATACTTCCCAACTTTTTTTGGAGTTTAATTTACTCTCCTCAGTACGTCCATGTCATATGTCAAATTGAATCTCACGCCTATGCTGCTGCGTGATCAAGTGCTCACAAATTGGGACATTGATTCCTTCATTTGATTGATTTGATTGATTAGATTGATTTGAAGGATGGATTGGTTGACGACTGATTGATTTAAATGATTGATTTAAATGATAGACTTAAATGATTGATTGATTGAATTTGATTCCTTCATTTGATTGATTAATTGATTAATTGATTTGAAGGATTGATTGGTTCACTGAGTTATTTATTTAAATGATTGAGTGCTCTGTTGATAGATATAGACTTGAATTTATTTAATTGATTAAAAAAATCAAGGCTTTGCTAGGGAAAAAGAAAAGAGACGATCTTCATAAACTAGCTGAATCGAATCGTAGCTTTTCTCATTATCGTCGGAGGTAATTAGAGAATGTACATATAGAAATCACCACCAAACAAGCCCGCATATGCGTACACGTACGCGCAGCCTTTATCACATTTAGTTAACTGCGAGTATTTATTTTATTACTACGCAGTTTTGTCTCTGCTCTAAGCTTCTTACAGCCAGGCACAGACTTTACTTTGTGCCATTTGATGTGTGACCACAAATATAAGGAGAATGATTTGAAGGACTGATTGATTGACTGATCGATTTAAATGATTGAGTGATTCCTTCATTCCCCTTCTTTTGATTGATTTGGTTTGATTTGGTTTTGATTTGGTTTGATTTGGTTCTGATTTGGTTTGATTGATGGATAACAGATTGTGTTTGCGGATTGGTCTTTTTTTCTTTGCCAGGTTGCTTCTCCTCTGCAGTTCCATGGTCCTGGCGACAAGAGAGCAGTTCAAGCTGTAAAGATCACATCGAGTTCGCGAGCGGAAAGTGGGACGGGGAAGGGGGAGGGGGAGGGGGAGGGAATGGTCAGAGAGGAGGAACGGACTTTTGTGTACACGTTCTGCCTCGAGAAGGTATTTTTTTTTACTAACGTGTCTCCGTTCATCCTCTGTGATGCAAACCTTGTCCGTCCATCCATCAGGAGCCCGCATTAATCGGGCCACATTCAGCTCGATTGCTGCGCTTTTTTTTGGTTTAGTTTTTTTTTTTTTTTCTTTGTTTCCTTTTTTTTTCCTCTTTTTTTTTTTTCTGGCGACATTCAGCTCGATTGCTGCGCTCTTTTTTGTTTGTGTTTTTTCTTTTTTCTTTTTTCTTCTTCCCTCTTTCCTTTTGTGTCTCCGTCAGCAACATTCTTCTCCTTGCGCATTATTAAGCAGCTGCTGTGTTTGGCTTGATCATTATTACTCAGCTGTATCCGGCTTGAAAATAATTAATCAGCAGCGTTCTTTTTTTTTCAGGGCTCGATAGCTCACCCTTCCTTGAAGCTCCTACTTTTTTTTTTCTTTTTTTTTTTCTTTTTTTTTTTCTTTTTTTTTCACCGATAGCTCACCCTTCCTCTCATTCACCTGTGTTCGGCTCTCGATTGCTCGCACGTTTTTTCGCCATCGACAACAATCCCTCTGGTCATTCTGAATGACCAGGTGCATTCATCTTTGGAAGTGCAATTAATTTAATCATATTCCTTTTCTCCATCAACCACAGTCTCCATGACCACTATTCATCATCATTTTAAATTTTATTATTGTATGGAATCGAAGGAATTCTGCAAATTTGGAGAATTCCTGTAATGCAGGGGGTGGGGGAAGGATAAGGCAATAGAAATTCCGAAATTATGTCGAGAATAAAATTAATAAATTCGTGAAATTAATTATGCGATGGTAAGTTCAGAAGATAACATCGTCCAGCAGGTGTAGCTCGATCCCCACCAATGGGCTGTGGAGTCATCCACAGAAAACCTCGATCCACTTGGTTCTTGTACCACCACTCGACTGTATGCCTTCACAGGATGTTCATTAAAAAAAAAAAAAAAAAAAAA